GCTTGGGGACCCGAGCTGGGCCTCTGCCCACACCTGCCCCGCTCTTACCCTCTAGCGGACCTACCCCATGGTCTTCCCTCATGTCACACGTTTCCAGGCCCCATTCACGCTGTGCTCTGGACCTGAAATACGCTTTCTTCTAACTCCCTTAAGTCTCCTTTCCCAGCATGATCGGCCCCTCGAAGGTGCCCCTCCTGGAAGTCCTGGTCCCTACTCATGGTATTTACTTGTCCCCCATGTTCATATACTGAAACCCCAATTCCCAGTACCTTAGAATGTGATTATATTTGAAGACAGGGCCTTTAAAGAGGTCACCATGGGGAGCTGGGCCCCAGGGGCACGTGCTTGGATTCCCACTGCTCTGGGAGGCTGAGGCAGGAGGGTCACAGATTGCAGTGCCACCCAGGAAACTTCAGAACTTAGCAAAGAAAGGCTGGGGATGCAGCTCAGCAGGAAGACCCTACTTCAACCCCCAGTGCCACAAATAAATGGTGATTAAGGCAGATTGGGGCCGCTGTGATGCACCCAGAGCCATTCTGACTGGTGGGACACACAGAGGGACACCAGGGACAGGAACTGTGGAGAAGAGCATGGGTGGACAGCCAGCCAGAGGAATGTGTTGGCAGCCACAGAGGGAGGCATCCAGGGGCACCACACCTGCTGTCATGGATTGGATTCTGGATCTCTTCTGTGACCCCCAACTTATGTAGAAGTGTGTTACTTAGTTTTTAAACAGTTGAGGATTTTCTAGAGGTATCTGTTGCTGTTTTCTCATTATTGACATTGTCACCAGAGAACATACTCAGGATATCCAGTCACTTGAGATTTCCTGAGTCTTGCGTGGTGTCCCCGCGGGTGGTCCATCCTGACAGATGACCTGTGGGTGCTGGCAAGGATGGGCAGCCTTTGGATGTTGGAGTGTTTGGGAAACACTGACCCGGGCAGACAGTCCTATGACATGAAGCCTCCGAATTCTAGACGGTGGTCTGTGTGGTGTACAAATGACCAGAGTTGAGATCGCTGTATCTCTGGGGTCTTCCACATTTCTTCTTTGCAGTTCTATTCCTTTTTGCTTCATTCATTTTGAAGTATGCCTATTCGGCACATGACATTCAGGTTTTTGTCACCTTGGTAAACTGACTTTATCATTCTGAAATGATATCTACTTTTTCTGGTATTACTATAACCACGCCATCTTTCTTTGATTACTGTTAGTAAGGTATAATTTTCTGTGTTTTTACTTTTAACCAATTTTTAATTTATACTTAAAGTAGTCTTCTAGGGCTGGCAATATAGCTCAGAGGACTAAGTGCTCGCTTAGGTAAGCACAGGGGCCAGGGTTCAATCCCTGGCACTGCACGCTTAGCCAGCCTTGCCCCCTGGGGGGGTACGCTGAGCCGGCAATGGAGTCCAGGCATGGTGGCACACACCTGCGATCCCAGCACAAGGGAGGCAAAAATCAGGAAGATCACCATGAGTCTGAGCTGCGTAGTGAAAGCCTCACATACACACACACACACACACACACACACACACACACACACACAAAAAAAAAAAAAAACCTTGAAAAAGAAAAGTAGCCTCCTTCGGTTCATTTTCTAGAGGCAGGGTTTCACTATGTAGCCCACGCTAGACGAGACTGTAATGACCTTCCTGCCTCAGCCTCCAGAGTGCTAGGCTTACAGATGTGCACCACCATACCCAGGTTAAAGTCGGCTTTTTTAACATGGTATTAGTCAGATGTTGTTCTTTTAATCTGGTCTAAAATTTCTGAGTTTTAATAGGAGGCTCACATTTAATTGTATTTAATCTTAATTATTAATATGCTTGGGTTTAAGGCTATTATTCTTGGTACTGGGAATCAAACGCAGGACCTTGAGCTTGCCAGGCATGCGTTTGTGCCGCTGAGCTATATTCCTAGCCCCAATTTTGCTATTTTGTTACTTGTTTAATCTGTTATATATTCCCACTGCCTTCCTGTCTGCTTTTTTGCTATTACACAGGAATTGTTTCGTAGGCTTCTACTTTCTCGCTTTCACTGGCTTGTCAGCAGTGTCTTTCTTGTGTGCTGTGTCTCCACATTGATTCTGTCCCATGTCACACAGCAGCCAATCATCTTTTAATAATGGACTTGCCTCTGTCTCTGTCCACACTTTCTGCTGTCACTGTCACACAATTTGTTATAAACTCTACATTATTTTTTCTCCTTGACAGTTTGTTATAAAGATGTTAAGTAAATTGTATTACTAATTCCTATTGGCTTATTGAAAGGAACAGTTAATGCTTAATTTTTTGAACTTTGCATGCCTGTATCTAGTAATCTGAACTACTTTGAAGACCTCAGTATGTAATCTAACAGTCATTGTTGACTTCCTATCATCTCGTTTTGAAATACTGTATCATTTTTAATGTTTTTAATTCTCTTTAAAATAAAATCAAATCAATATTTGTCATTTCAAGTCCAAAAACTAAGTAAAGATGTTAAGCAACAGGAAAAACATTCTTAACACGCCCCGCTGTAGCTACCATTTCCAGATTTGCTGTTTGCCTGTTTTGCTGCTACCGACTGAGCCCAGGACTCACACAGATTAAACTCGGGTTCCACCAAGCCACGCCCTGTCCTTCCGGAGGGCCGTACCCTGGTGCATCTAGGTTTTCATCAGGCATCATATTCCTTCTGCTTAACAAACTTCCTTTAACAATGCATTTTGGTGGTCCTGGGGATTGAATCTGGGGCCTGTGCGTGCCAGGTCAGCGCTCTACCACTGCGCTACATCCAGCCCTATTCCCTTCTGAGATCTAATCAGGGGCTCACTATGGTGCCCACGTGGCCTTGAACTTGGGGTCCTCCTGCCTCAGCCTTCCAGGTAGCTGTGACTACAGGCATGTGCCCTCATCCCAGTCAGAAAGCTCTGGCCCTTTCTCCTCTTTCCATTGTGAGTTCCAATGACACATATCCTTGGCCCCTTGAACTTGTGGTCCTACCATTCATTAACACTGTGTTCCTCTTTCCTCATTCATTTCTCTTGCTGTGTTTCCTCTCGGACAGCTCCTTTTCCTGTGTCTTCAGGTTCGCTATGCTTTTCTTCTATAATATCCAATCTGTCTAATCTTTTCTCAGATGAATGAATTTTTCATCCCTAGAAATTTGATTTGAAAAAAAAAAAAGAAATTTGATTTGGATTTGTGTGTGTGTGTGTGTGTGTGTGTGTGTGTGTGTGTTATATCTCCATTTTACACATTCTCTTTCCTTTGGCTTCTTGAACTTTTGTTTTTTTGTTTTGTTTTGTTTTTTGCAGAACAGGGGATTGAACTCAGGCCCTTGAGCTTTCCAGGGAAGCACTTATTCACTAAGCCATCTCCTCGGCCCCTTTCTTGAACTTTTGGAATCCAATTATAATAGCTGTTTTCATAACTTCTCTTCATTATGATGTGTTAATACCCTCCTTTTTTTAGTACTGGAGAACTGAATCAAGGGTCTTCACCCTGAGCTACATCTCCAACCCTTTTAAACTTTTTATTTAGAGATAGGGCTTCACTTCACTCACTAAATTGGGCTGGAACTTGGAATTCTCCTGCCTCAGCCTCTCACAGGGCAAGGACTACAGGCCTTCTTTTTGTTGTATGTTGTATCTTCCTTTTGTTTGAATGTCTGGTGATTTTGAGTAGGGGCTAGGCATCATAAATTTATTTACTTATTTATTTATTTTTGTGGTGCTGGGATCAAACCCAGGGCCTTGTGCTCGCAAGGCAAGAACTCTACCACTGAAAGCCCTGGCATCATGAATTTGATCGTTAGTTAAAATCCTCTTGTAATTCTAAACTCATTCTTGAGATTAAGTCTAGGTTGAGATTAGGTCTTGGTCTTAAGCTTTACGAGGCAGGGCAAGAGTACCATTTAGTCTAGGGCTGTCACCCTACTATGGAGAGAAGGGCTCTTCCAGTTCTCTAAGGGCTGGGGAAGGATGGGTGACACCGTGGCCAAGAACTGGCATTATTTCCATCTGTCTGATCTGCTCTCCTCCCCAGCACCTTTCCCTGCAAACCCTGCCACCTTGACTTCGTGGATCACCAGTTCTTCACCTCACCTCAGGGCCACTGCAGGGCTCCTTACTGGTGCCCTGGCCTTACTGCATGACCGGAAGTGTTCCCATGACCCGGAAGTGCTCCCATGACCCGGAAGTGCTCTCTATGGGCTGTGGGCTGGGACAGCCAGATGTCCTCTTCTTTGTTTTCTGTCCTTAAGAGATTATTGTCCTGGGGCTGGTGAGATGGCTCAGTGGTCTAAAGCACCTACTTAGAACAAGCTTAGCAAAGCACAGGGACCGGGGTTCACTCCCCCAGCACCACATGCCAGCCCGCCCGCCCCGCCCCCTGGTGGGCTGAGCTGCCCCCCCACATAAATAAATAAATTAAAATTTTTAAAAAAATTTTAAAAAAAGAGATTATTGTCCTTCACTCTTTGCTACCCAGTATTGTAAAAATATGATTTTTTGAGGGGGAGGGGTCTTTTTTTTTTTTTTTTT